TTCATCTTGTATGAAGCAGAAGAGATGTATTTCAGTTGTTAAGAAAGGCAGGAAATTTTCAGTTATGTGATAAGTTATAGTATATTTAGGAACTACAAGTGCTTCCTTTAAGTGATGTAGTATTAAAAATATTCATATGTTTTCCTTACAGGAATTGAATTTCAGACATGTTAGTAGAGGATAAACAGGTGGTTTTTGCCACTTCCTACTGGTTTTCTACATAATTGCAGATTTGAAAAGGGCATGAAATCTGAGCCTTATTCAGCTTCCCTCTCCTCTGCCTGATACTGTCTTCTGTTTTCACTATGGTTTCTGCCACCAAATACAACCCAGTTTCTGGGACCATCTTCTTTATGAGAGCATGATCTTTCTGTAATTCTCCTTTCAACTTGTTGTTAAGTTTGGTTTTACTCCAAACTTTTCATTATTCTTGTCCATTCAGACTCCACTTTCTTGTTGCTTCCCATTTCTGGATCCTTTCCTCCTGCCCTGTGACAGGTTATACCACAGTAAGCTTCTTTTGCCTTGCTTCTTGTTATGTTATGCAACTTCAGATTGCAATGAAGTGTAGTGGCAATTTAAGAATTTATGTTCTTTGGGAGCCGTGTACCTACAGGAAATTAACCCAATAAATAGACTTTTTAATCTCTGTCATCAGTAGTCGCTTTCTCCTTGTCCTGATTCTTCCCTCTGGCCCACTATGCTGAACTATGGTTCTGTTTCTCTCATACTGCTCTTCACTTCTTTCTGTGACTTCGGTGTTTACCCCTTTCTGTCTTTGCTCTTGGTATCAGTGGAAGGATACTGGAGACTCCAAAAGAAAGGAGAGTGTCATGTTTAAGCTTGGGGCTCTTCTACAGAATACTATTTTCATGAAGCTGAAACAGATGGATGATTCCCACTGGCACAGAATGGGGGCACTGAGCTAAAACAGAAAGATGCAGTAAGACATTATACCAGAGTAGAGGTGGAATGGACAGAGTCAGAAATACATCTTTACACAGAACTTTAGAGGAGAACTGCCATGCCCAGTTGTTACATGCATCATCATAATTAAGCAGGAGTTTTCATGTATATATTTCAAACAGGCTGCTGAGTCCCTTTCAGTGGGAGAAGGCTGCTTTTCAGGCTAGGACTTTCAGCACCGCATGGGGGAAGTTGAAGGATGGTTGAGGAGATGCAAGTCAGAGAAAAGAAAGTTTGAAGTGCAGCGAAACTGCTATGTGCTTGGCAAGCATGCCATGCCTTGGGGGACCAATAGAAGGATGGTGGTGAAGAATACTAGTTCTTACAGATTTGAAATTTAGGATCTGTGAAGAAGCTATGAAAACGTTAACATGAAACAACCATGAAAACAACCCAAAGCAGTCTGAAGTGCATTAGAATTCTTCTGTGATAAGTACCTTCTCTTCTTCTCTGGCAATTGGAGGATTCATGCCTCTTAAATGTCATTGTCAGATAGTCATAATGGTAATTTTTCGTTTGCGTGTGAGTTATTTCCTCTAGTTTCAGGGGTTTACAACCCTTTCTCATTTCAGTACAGCCATTATAACCAATGGAACCTCCTGCTTAAGGGAGTTCTATTCAGTATACATAGGAATAGAGAGTCAAGACCTCTTGTCTGAATTGTGATCTTCACTTTATTGAATTTAGAATTAGTGGGAGAGTTAATCTCCAAAGACAGTGAAGCATTTTTATTTTACAGCATAATAACAGTGCTCAGAGTACGTAATGGCTGATTTCTGTAGTTTTATGTCATCAAATGTACTGCATAAACACAAACCTTTCAATTTTTCTTAAAATCTATTTGTGTATAACTGCCATGGGAAATTTGTTTTCTTTTTATAATGAACAGTGTGAGACAGCAGAGAACAGTTAAAAGATTAATAGAAAATGTTGGAGGCAGAAACATAATTTTTTTTAGGTAGTCTTTAGAGCAGGACCAAAGCCAAAGTTCTCTCGGCATAGATTCTATATTTTTTGAAAAAGCATGGTAGACTTGACTGGAAACATGTATAAAAGGTAAATACTAGCAGATGTGTTTGTGTAGAGGCAAATCTAGAGTTCTCCAGTGAACATTTGGGTGAATACAGACTTGTGAATGTACTTGTCCATTAATATAGAGAGGTAGTTGCTGTTTGATTTTTTGGTTTAGAGCTTTTGAAAAAAAATAATTATGATATATTCCATGACAAATGGAAGTGGTTGTTGATGGCAGCAGAAGCAGCTTGCAAGCATCCAGGGTTGGGAAGGTGTTCCAGAAAAGCATACATTCTCTATCAGTTACTTTTACTTTCAGTCTCCCAACCTGCAGCTATTTCATTTAGTGTTGTTCCTGCATACATCCACAGGGAAACACCAGATTTTTAATCTGCATTGTCAGTTCTTGGAATTTATTTGTAGCAACTGTTGCTGATTTCCTCTTTATTATTTGTCATTATTAATTGTAATGCTTTTGAGGAAGCTGAAAACAAAGTAGAGAAATTCTTTCCTGGAGAAAGAGAAACCAACTGTACCTGGATGTATTTTTTTCAGATATTAAAAAGACTTGTTAATAAGTTGTTAATTAATTAATTAATGTTCATTATTTTTTTGGTAGTAATTTATTAAAGTCTAGTTAACTCATGTAGAGCTTTTCATTATGATAGTATGAACTAAGAATTCATTCATTTGCTGTAGCCATGTAGGAAATGCCCAGTTAGCCATGCTTTAGATGGTTTGTTGTGAGGCAGATGAAGTAGGGGGAAAATATGACAAATATAATGAACCCTGAGTTTTACAAATCCTCACTGCAGTGCAGATATGTAATTGCAAGAGGCACAGTGTTTTTCAGAGATGGATGTCTTTCTGGATAGAAATTGATCATTCTGCTAGTGCTCCAAGCTGGGCAGATGCAAGACAGCTCAGTTCTTATAGCCGCATTAAGGTGATGTTGTCAAGCTGCCATTTTCGTCTTCTAAGCATAGGTTATTACCTCAGGTACAAGCTTGCAATGACCACAGCTACACTGCATGTGAACCAGAGATGTCTTTTGTCCCGTTAGTTCAGACTGCAGGCAGAGGAGTTTATGCCTCTGTATATGAGTCTGTGTTTTGCTGGAGTGGTACCTGGCTTGTCAGTCAGTCTGTTTTGTACACTGAGTGGAAATGGAAGAAGGCAGCAGGGTCTGGGGAACTGGAGCTGGGAGGAGGAATCTGAATTCTGTTCCTGATTTTGATATTAACCTCCTGAGGGACCACGGGAAAGTACTTACACTTTTCTGCTTACTCTTGCAACCTTTTCCTACCATGTTTATGCACAGATTAGCTCTCCGTACATCTCTGTGTGCTCAGGCTGCACAAAAATCAGGAGTGCAGCTGGAAAATTCACAACAAAAGCTGATGTTAAAAAAAAAATACTATCAAACAAACAAAAAAAACCCCCAAAACTGGAGAGCTGTGAAAAGAACTGTTGAGGGATGATCCCATCCCAGTCCCCTTTATCACCAATAACAGCTTGCCTATTGTGTCTCTTTGGTAAAAATCCAGTGTCTCTCCTTTTCTCTCTTTAAGCCCTTCTCCTGGCGTTTAACCACCACCACTTATTTTGAGTCTTTCTCCTATAGCTCACAAAATCTCAGATTCTCCAGGTTTTCTCTCAGTCTTGATCCTGTGTCTGTTTTAAATTTTCCTGTTTTCTTTTTCCTTTTTTTTTTTTTTTTTAATTGTGTCTTGTAGTAGTGGCTGTTTCTTCTGATTCCTAAATCCCAGTCTTGTTCTTTTCCGTCCCGTTTCCTCCTTCCTTGCATCCTTCCAACTTTTAATGAGTGTCCAATCTCCTCTCTGGATTTCAAGTCTATTCCAGTTAATTTTCCTCTTATTCTACTCCAGGTATATTATCTTAGTTACAGCTTCTTTCTTCTGCGCAATTTGTCCTTTTTGTCTGATTCTTCCACCCCCTCATACAAATCTGTCAGCTTCCTTGGTTTGTTGTGTTCCTTTCCTTGTTTCCAAGCCTTAGCTCTTCACTTTTGCATCTGGACAGAGAAGTGGAGGATCTTTCACTGTGCAACTATATCACTGTGAGCACTGGGAGAAAAGGTCTCTGGTTCCAATGCCTAGCCTCAGCTTTGTCTAGACCCTCATAGAGCAACAATTGCAGGACTAGTTAGGCTTTGCCTTCTGTCCCGGAATTAGAACATAATCTGTCAGCTGGAG